GTACAAATAGGTTTCAGTATTACGGTTAGGTTTCTCAGTTACGGCTATGTCTAAGGGCTACGGTTACGTTTGCAATTTCGGTTAGGGTTAGAGTTGCCGTTAGGGTTAACGGCTAACGTTTAAGGTCGAGGTAAGGGTTAGGGTTAAGGTTAGGATAAGGGTTAAGGTCGCCGTCCGCTTCCCCGTTCCTGGCTACCAAATGCGATCTAGCTGAAATTTGTCTCGCCTCGATGCGAATGGCCCGAACTGCAGCTGTAGATTGCCCTGTGCGACAGAGCAGTGTGCCACGGGACAAACACCATGTCCTCGCTAACACATACTTCTTTACACACTCACTCCTGGTCTGATCTCTTCGAATGTCATCCCGCCCAGCGGAATGAACCTGAAATGTGAAAAATCCCCAAGTGGTGAAGATCCGCATTATTTATCTTGAAAAAGACACGTTGTGTTAAGCCAGAGACAGATATAATGATGACATCTGACTCAAGTTTTTTTAGCGAGTTCATTGCGATCAGCGCGAACTAGACTCACATCAGCACGCAATTCTGAATAGCGTGGATGCTGTATTCTTCAAAATCAATTATCGGGGTAAGGTTTGCGGTGAGAAGTTGTAAATATCGTCACTCACTTACTTGCCTCCCCCGCTTTCCTATCTGTATTCCTTGCAACCGCACGATGACAACTAAAATGTTGTAATTTTGATGGTTTGCCGCCTGAAAAAAGTGGATCGTGTGATTGTTGTCGCCGATTGCTCGTTGTGCTAGTTACGAAAAAGGATGAGTGCTTGTCCCGTGTCGACAGATTCCAGAGAAATGCATGTCCGCTCTTTTGTTAAAACAACCGAAAGGAGAAGACGATCAGCGTGGCAGTTCTTCCCACACAAACGACTGTAACTATAGTTGTTGCAAAGTCAGGGGGCTTTCGGAACAATCAGCACATCCGACCTATTCATACCTTCCGTATTTCGGTGACAGGACTGAAGACGAATTACAATCTTCTTTTTTTACCCCGCAGAGAAGCGAAGGCATAGGGAGAGCCTGGCAAATCCCAGCAACTTCTTGGCAAGATTGCATGCCGAGTGCACATTGAGTGTTGCTGTCTATCGAAGGCCCGTTTGATTTTGCAGATCTGGGTTTCAGTTTCATTGTTACTCTTTATGCCCCTGAGACAGTGCTGCGTAAAGTTTTAAAACGTTCCAACTGAACTCCTTGAGGTATTTTAGTATTTAAATAACTTATAAAAGAGAGAGAGGCAACGTTTCTGAGTGCAGACTTTAAGGAACCCCAAAGGCCGCACTCACGGGCGTCAATAAATTGGTTCATGAGCCCCCCCCTCGTGCGAGGGTTTGAAAGATCTCAAACCATCGTTGCCGTCATGAAAATCCTCAAACAGTGTGCACATATTGCCAACGTCTTCCGATGTGCACATGAGGACAGTTGTTTTCACCGCAGACTAATGGTGACAGTGCGTCCATTCACTTTCTGCGTAGGCAGTCAAGCCATGAATGTGTCACTAAGAAAACAGGACATCATGCCGCCTTTCGTCGACAGGTCCTTAATATTTTCTTCAAAGTAAAGTCAGGCTGGAGGTCATAATATGACAATGACAATGTCCATGACAATTCTTTATTATAAAAAAATCCATCTTTATTTTCATTCGAACCCATTTTCCTTATCCCTTGCGCGATTTTGGGCTTAATTACACAAAACGGTGAGCTATAGAGCAGTCATCTGAACACTGAAATGTTCCTCGGATGGCTAACACGGTGCCTGCTTCGGTTGCAGGATAAATATTAGCAGGACCTGAACCATGCAAAGATCCTCTTACAATGTGCTCAAAAATATACATGACCATGTATTTGTAAGTCCCTTGGCGGACACTCCTGAAATATTTGTAAATACCTAAAGCCCGTGCGTGTGGTGGTATGAAAGATTGGCTGCCGACTTACTTGCCGTACTTAGGGTAAAAGATTGCGAAATGAGAAAGAAAAATACCCTGAAGAGACAGGAGCTGTTTTCATGAAAATAATGCACTTATTCACGCCTTGCCTCAAAGGACTAAAATAAAAAGTTTACAACTAACGAAGGTTTTTCTGAAAAGCTCTTTCTCACTAGAATTAGTGTCTTCCACCGTAGAAACAAGTACGGATGAGCAGGTATGGTCTACGATAGTCAATAGCTCAGGAAACTCCCTAGGTATAAAGACGAGTAGAGTTCTGCACAAAATTCATAAGTTCCCGATAATAAAATTAGTACAAATCTCACGTTTCCTGCAAACGAGGCTTTTTTGCATTCGGTTAACAGGTCCCAGATACTCCGAATCGAACATCTGAATTTAGAATTAACACGAAAGCCTGGAATTTATTAATGCCCTCCAAACAGACGTAAAGCGATAAAAACAAACTGCAGAATTTCAGGTTCAGAACTTTTCAATAGATCCTCATGTGTGCAGTGCACATGACTTTAATTGCATCACTTGAATTGCACCATGCCGACTTCGGTTGGTGTGCATTGTTCCCTTCGTATTATGGAGGCGTTTTGACATTCGTGCGTTCCTGTCACCTTGATGCCGTTGCTTTTCTGTTTTTTCTTTTCCGTGCTTCAAGTTATGTAATTGTTGTTTTTGTGAATTTTAGGGCTGTGTGGGAGAGAGAGGCCAGGATGGTGACACGGATGCCAGTAAAGTTTACTTGGCCCATGTTGCTCAAAAATCTGAGTTACTCACGCCAGAATTTATGAGTGAACTAAGCAGACAGGCTAATGAAAATAACAGAAAATGGAAGCACGACGCAGCCTGGCTTTCGCTGACGCGATCTCCTATCCTTCATTTTGGCACAAACGCCTTTTCCACTGGAACCTTTTTGACATCTGCTCCGGTGACTGTAAGCAAGGTAAAGATAGAAATACTCACATCAATTTTGAAAGCTGTCCACGTCCGAATAAGGGGGAAAATTGTGTCCAACGATGGCAACTATGCAGGAAGTGATTATTTCATGCTGCCCGTTTGCGATAATACAATCCACCAATTAGATATGATATAGGTAAATGCGGTTAAACCCTCCAAGTATATAGACATCTATAATAGATGTGCCATCACATGAGGTGTTAACCAAAATTCCGAAATATATTTTTGATTCGAAAAAATGACTTAAGTGGAGCACTAATACCAATTATCACGCAGTATAATTCAAAAATATTTCAGCCACAGCAGAATACCGTCTTTTAAATGAGTTCCATTAGGCCGTCTGCTAACACTCCACTATGTAAAAGCGACTACATAGGAAGTGGCAATTTTTCCCATTTATCATCGATGCTCCTTGAATTCAAATGTATTTCATAAAAAAACATGTGCAAAAATATTTATTCTTTCACTCACTCAGTGGCAAGTTGCGTTTTTTCAAATTTTTACTTGAAGAAAGTGTATGTTTTGACTTCAAAAAGTTTCCAATTGAGAAATTTTTTAAGACCAATAAATGTCCCCTCATGTAGCACCGAAATCAACAGTTTATTAATGCTGCTGGTTAGTTCGCAGTTGGTAGTCAGGAATGGGGAAGCGGACGGCGGTCTTAACCCTAGCCCTGACCTCAACCTTAAACGGTAACCGTTAACCTTAACGGCAACCCTAACCGAAATCGTAAGCGCAGCCTTAGCCTTTGACATAGCCGTAACTGAAAAACCTGACCGTAATACTGAAACCTAATCGTACGCTCAAAGCCTAATCGTAACCCGAAAATCGAAGCCTAAAGGCATAACCCTAACCCGAAAATCGGAAATCATTAGCCGGTATCCTAATCCTAACCTCAAACGTAAAACGGAAGCCAAATGGGTCGGATGTGATGCGGGTCCAGGCTACAAACCGTGATCTAGCCATGCTGCTTATAAAGCGTACAACCTTGTCCATGTTCATTGCACAATTGCATTAGTCCTGTATGACATCTTTCGAACAGCATAGAGAAATAAGTGACATTATTTTGAGGGAGTGTGTACAGCTTGTAGTTTGGAAGTCCCACATGCGAGCGTTACAGCAGTTGGGGCAAAAAATATTCCGAAATCAAAAAAAACTTTTAAAAACCAGAGGAGGGCCCAAATAGCGCAGTCAAAGGCCGGAATCCTTATGTGAGTGAAATACCTCTAAATTATGTTACGCGATAGTTAATGTTACAACCATACTTAAGTAATCTTTCCAAATCGGAAACGCTTTAGAAATGTGGTCAACATTGCACGAAGTAATAAACCTACTGTACGTGCATTACGCCGATGTTGAAGCCCTCAGCGACGTAAGGGGAAAAGATCAGGACCAGTGGTTAGTGTGCTGAGACAAATAAACAACAAACGAGCTTCTGCGTGGACGTCTTTCGAGCAGTACTGCCTGTTACGCGCTCGCCACCTTAAGCAATGTTGAAAGCCCTAAGTGTGGGCTTTTCGTTTGGTCAAAATTTCAAAATGCTCCGCGGGCTAATTACTCCTCGGATGACTAAAGGTGGGAAGAAGTGAATTCTGAAAGCCCTTTTTAACGCAGTGACCATTTGTCACTGTGAAGACATGGCCGCACAAAGCAATTTTCCGTGGCTTGCGTTTTCCACTAGCTAAATGCTTCCCATGGCTTCGAAATCTATCTTTCGGGAGGGGGGCGCGAAATACTACTGAAGACAGGGTGGAAAGCAACAAAAGGGATTCCAAGGCCTCAAGTTCCTTCAGAGAACGTCGCCACCTAGAGTTGAGCAAATTTGCCGAGCTTGCTTTTGCCTCAGTGATTGGTGTGGGAGCCAATTATTCAGTTAATCTAATCGAACTAACGTGGTTTCACACCCTCTCCGAGCAGTCCCGCCGGTCCTTCCACTGTCATTGGACTGTCTAAGTGTTGTCACAAACCAAATACTTAAAATAAGAGGAAGAAAAAGAAGCGATCATTGGAATAAGAAGTCTGTTGGCCTGACGTCTTGGATTCTCACTCGAACCTGTCGTCAGACACCTACATCTGCAACCGTCCCTGATGATGGGTTAAAGTGAGAATTCCAGCGATCGCTCCTCCTCCTCCTCCTCCTCCTCCTCCTCCTCCTCCTTCTTCTTCTTCTTCTTCTTCTTCTTCTTCTGAACTGTGCCTGAAACTCGCCTGTTTGCTCCTATTGGCAAACCAAATACTCTCATAACTAGACAGCCTACATAAATGCTGAGAGAAGATGGCAGATGAGTTCAATTACAGAATGTCAAACCTTTTAGTGGAAACATCAGATGCATTCTGACAGGATAATCCTCATTCACTGTGACGGTCTCAATTATGTAGAAATCGGATCCTTTCAAACAACACCGGTGCTATTTCAAATCCCGTAAGCTTTTGAACGCAAAACTGAGTAATAAGGCATTATCAATGCCAAAGTCAACTCCTTCGACTGGATGTTTTCCAGGCACATGTGCAAATCACGTAAAACACGAAACACTAAAAAAATGATGTTAATTTTTTAACAACTTCCGACTCTTATCCAAATTCAATCACATTGCATGGAGACGATGGCCCAAAAGTAATTTATCATATTCGCCCGGATTATTCAAATTTGACACATGAACTGAAGGAATAATTTCATTTTGGGAAACCATATACACCTATAAGGTTCGAGACAAAAACTGTGTCTTCGTTTGTTTTGCGAAAGTTTGCAACAAATAGCGTTCACATTATTTAAAGAGAATTCACGCAACTCTACATGCGTTTAGGTAAACTTTTCCTGGAACTCATAATGTATTGCAATTTATGTGGATCAGGTTACATACCGTGGAATCGACGCTAGTAAACTGAGTGATAATGAGCTACATGAAGAATCCTATGCAGGCCTCAGCGTTTTTAAATATTTGTTAGCTTTGCAAAATCAGCATAAACCCCATTTCAAGTGTCAGCTTTAACGAGGGCGTTGTCTGCTCTGGGAGTAACGTAAAAAAGTTTATAAACGGACATAAACACAGACTGGAAAAATGTATGCACCTCAAGGAGATCTTGAAGCACACTAAGTCGACAGACAGTGTACTGTCACGTGGGAATTAACTTGGGGCGATGCTCCCAACCAAACGGATTTTGCGGCCTTACTGAAGTAATTCTTTCCGTCTGAAAGCACATCGAGAATTCTCGTTCAGCGACTGAATATTTCTCGCGCATACTGCGCTAACTATCTGAAATCAGCAAAAATTTAATTCAAAATAAGCGTCTTATTTTTCTGACTGGATCAACTTAAGCAGTCCGGACTGCTAAGGAAAGTCAGCCAATTTCGTTGAAATATAATTTCGACAAAGTTTCTTTATATTTTGACTGCCTAACAGTTTGTTTAACCGTCCGAGTGCAGGCCTTCGGTCCTTAGCACGCAGATCAGCGGCTGAGAGTCTCACACAGATATGTTGTATTCCGTGCCGTCACTACCATGTGCCCGAAGACCGCTGACAACAACAGACCGAATGTGGGCCCCTAAAGTAGTAAACTTTAATCTAAATCTGATCCAAGGTATTGCCCGTCTGAGTTCGGATCAGGAATGAGTAACGGCATCAACTAAGCTTGAAACGGCCATTCAGTCGCTGCCAGTAAACGCCTCGATTATGCCTCATTGGTTTCCGTGCCATCGTATGCGTGGGCCCTACCAACGAACAGGAATGAACAAAGTTGAAGAATCGTACTCCCGATAGTCGGAAAGTGAGCACCGCTCCCTATGATGAGTTCATGGATCCCCTCCTCCTCCTCATCAGCATCATTGCCAGTAAATACCCAAACTGAATGGATAAACTGGAATTCCGCACAGACAACACAGAGCACAGTCGCGGTATTTCAACATCGGGACATGGGAGGGGGAGAAGGGGTGGGAACAATCAGGCGGGGGAGGAGGCTTTTAATTTGGCAACTATCAGTTAGTCTTCCATTTGAAGTTAGCGCTGCCTGTGAAAGATAACCAGCTCATCAACAATTTCCTATACATGCAACCAACCGATTTATCTTATGCGGCTCATGGCAGATTTGCGGTGCGTGTTTGTATAAGATTAAGGCCACCGTGGAAATTACAATCATCCACTGCCAGGGACATTTGCTATAGGTGACGCAACTCACGAATAAGTCCTATGGCATACATACATCGGGTGTTGTCACTTTTCTGTTTATAAGGCTACTTTGAAGTGCAGAAGACCTTTTACTGAAATAGAAAACTCTTCTAGTCTGATTTCTTAAAGAGATACAGGGCAGCTATAGGCAGAATCGTACATTTCCCGATACTCAGGTAGTTTCCTATACTGCTGAATATCATAGAGTGCGTGATCGATCTCATGAAATGTTGGCCGAAATTCTGAAGTGAGTTTTCGGTTAGGGAGGATAGCTTAGATGGCATAGTAATACTGAATATCATGCGGCATGATCCTATAGTATTCCAAACTTGCCAGGAGGTCGGCTGTTGAATGTAATTCTTTCTGACCTCCTGCAAAAACTACAATCGGCAAAAAATGACTATTAAGGTAGTATAAATTGTTCGTATTGATTTACGATGGTCTTATAAATCCAAATATATTTTACAGAAAACATGCACAAAAGTATGCCTTTTTAACTCGATTGGTAGAGAATCACGTTGTCTTTACATTTTCTACCCGAAGAAAGTGCATATAAAAGTTTTGAAAGATTTCCCAATTCCCGAATAATTGTTAGCCTGATCATCCTTTGGATTGGCGTTTAACGATTACATTCTACAAGATGTGCGCTTTCCGCATAGGGAAAATCATATATTCCTATATGCCTTTAAGAAGATACCATAAAGAGTTCTTAAAATCTTGCCGTGGATGCGGACTTTGTTGTACATTTCAGGAGGAGCATTGGTAAACGAACGTGTGCGATGCTGTAGGAACGGATGTCGCACGGTCTTAAAAAGCACATAATTAGAAACTTTTTTGAAACCGAAAATTTGCGTTACTTAAGGTATAAAATTTAAAAAAGACGTGATTTTTATCCAAATAAGTAAAAAAAGCCATTTTATGCATGATTTTTATAAAATATGTGTGGGTAGATAAGACCATCAAACATCAATGTGAAAAATGTATGCGACTTAAGTAGTCAATTTTTACTTTTAGGTATCATAAGCCAAGACCGATTAATTACTTCAGTAAAGGTAAGAAAGGCATCAAATTGGTTTCTTCTAGAACTGAAAAATCTGATTTTGATCCGTACAAACCAGGCGAGATCAGGTTTGAGAAATCTTATTGTTTTTGATAATCGAGGGGCGGATCAGGAAGTAGTAATTCCCACTTGCAGACCGGTGAAGTTTTTTATCATAAAACAGGGTACTTTTTGGCACACTGCGAATTAAAAACCAATGACACATTGCCATTTTCTTTTGCCCCGTCATGCAATAAAGACGTCGAAGCAGTTCCTTTTGGCGAATTATTAATAATAGAAATGAGCGAGCGGACCAAAACGGCCTACAAGGAAGCCATACAACGACTTCATACGTTGTACGCTAACAGGTATCGTCATATGCCCATTAAAACTACTCCCGGGGAACATTTACTAATGTTCTCTCCGACATTATTAGGAAAGGAATGAAAGAGTTCGGCCTTTCTCGGCAAAACGACACGATAAAGCCATTGTTTGAGTAAGAACCTGGTTAGAGGGCCTCTGTATTTGTTCAAGCGTAGATTATTCGCGGACTTCCACTTCGAAAGAGAATCAACTTTCGTGATGAGGGCTTATTTCTAGACAAGTTTCCGAAGTCGGCTCGGTCGGTCGTTAACAATTTTGAAGGACTGTTGTCACCTGGTGGTTTGAATGGCCGGGAACGGCTAATATGACGATCGACGCCATAGATAACAAGAGGCTCATTGACATCGTAATGGATGCCTTTGGCCGCAATGGTATTCAAAGACGGCGAATGGACACAACGCTGCAGGATAATGCTCCTGTTCACTGCTCAAGGGAAGCATGCTTCTGATATGGCTTAAGATAATAATCTATATTTTGGACCACGGCCGGCCTCTCCGCCCGCGGTCTGCAAGCACTTCTTTCCTGCCCACAACCTGGACCTAAAGTCTATCAAAAAGGAAAAACTTTTCAGGGCAACAAAAGTTGGCTTTTATGCTAAAAACTCTATTGACCAGTCCGTCATTGGCAGCAAAAGGGACAATCAACAAAGTAGTAATACTTTGTATTGGTTATTGTTTCCATGTTCGTATCGGATTTTCCCACCTCCTCCGTTGGACCAGGAGGTATAAAATCTTTTCTTTCGGTTATATAGCCCATATCTATGTGTCTAACTAGGCTGTTTGCATAGAAATGTTTTCCCCCACATCCCCCAGCATGTTTCACAGATATTTGTGGCCGTGAAGGTTTGGCTCACCCGTCGGTTTCCACACATGCCCTCTGCGGTTTTCGCTGTAACTGTAAGCGTTTCAAGTGAAATTCCCATCAGCTCAGAGTTCATCTCTGCTATTTCATGAAATGCAGGAATCTCACAGTTCACCCATTGTTAAGATTAGAAGGAGACATCAGGAATGGGGAATTCCTTTTTCTTAACTTCTCAATAGATTTCATTGCAGACGGGGGGAGGCCAACATAATAAACGCGAGGGGGAGCGAGCTCCACAGGACGGGAAAATAAGATGAAGCCATCATTTTGAGACGACAAATGTTTGACCTTACCGATAATCAAAATCCAGAGAAGTGGAAAAGCAGTCCAGCCAAGAGAACTGGCTAAACATAAAAAATAATTCGCTAGAAAATTACGTCTTCTTCCAAGTTTATACTCGAAAGAAGGGTATAACCTGGTTTTCAAAAACCTTTCCAATTTTCGAATAATTTTGAGCCCGACCTGCCGTTACACTTGCATTCAGGGTTACCAGGCTACAACGCGGTTATTTTTCGCGTGCGGAAAACCATGCAGTTCTCTGCGATATTTAGAGCAGACCATATGGGGTTCATAAAATTTAGAAGTGGATTTGGGCCATATTGTTAACTTTACAAGCCACATAAGTAAATGCGGAGGCATGACGTTTTATGAACAGCCATTCCGCGGTATTAAAAAATCTCAAAATAAGAACCCTTTTATAGGAGAATTATACTCTTCCTTCGAGCATAAAATTGTAAGGATGCATCATTTTCTACCAAATGAGCAATAGAATGAATATTTTTATGCATGGTTTTCGTGAAATACAGTTGAAGTGTCAAGAGCATCGAAAATCAATGAGAAAAATTCATGCTTTTTAAGCAGTCCATTTTTACAAACTTTGGTTTTTACATGAAGTCAAGAAGAGGTTCATTTAAAAGCCGGCATCCTGAAGTAACTGAATTATGGCAGAATTACGCTGCATGATGATTAGTCTTACAATCCTACTTAATAAGTCTTTTGGAGACAAAAACGCCTTTCGGAATTTCCGTTAACATTTCATGAGTCAGTCCTCCTACTCTACGTCCGTCACTGTATCACGTCAGATTGTAATGTTTGTTTTGCTTTATTGACTCCTGAAAACCGATGTGTCGACTCTCGACAGATGATACGAAGAAAATCACGTTGGGTTGGTGGACGCAGCAACTTAGCTGCTACTGGATCCAAAAAAGGAAACGAAACGCCTTTTCGGAAATTTATGTGGCAGGATACTCGATCGCGATCCAGTGCAGGCGGACGATGCGGGCATCGTTTTTGCTAAGGGTAATAAGATTCATTTGTTGTCGTTCCGTCTGGTCACTCTCCGATATGTGAAGGAGCACCACCAAAAGACTGAAATTGCCATCTCAGGCATGATTGTCACCACCAGCCATCATAAAAGCAGGTTGGGACGACCCGTGACTTGAAACCGAGCCGAGCTAGTTGTTGATTACAGGCTCAAGCATTGAATTGCATACTCACATTGGAATGTTGAGCTCAGGAAGCAATCGAAACGAAAACAGTAGACCGACAAAGGTGAACGGGAGACTGAGGGCGGTTGGCTGATTCTCGATCTATGTTCACTACCGGGAGCAAACCAACACTCGACGACAGTTCGACCGTCGTTTCCGACGGTGTCCACTGTGTGCTCTACAGCATGGCGGAGCAGAAACGGTGATTTGTACGTGAATTAGTTTATAGTGAGAGTAGACTTGCGTAGCATCCGCCGCACTCCGCCCCTCCCCACCTGGAGCCGGTTTCAACACAGAGTCAAGAAGATTGGAGGCGGGTTAGGGTTCCGGTGGATGTCACGGTCGAGCCCGCACCTTGGCGCTCCATTCCACACCCCCTGGTTCACACAGCAAATGATCAGGTTTCTGACCACCAATAACCATGGAGAGGGCGGCGGGGGTCCCAGTGTGTGCGACGCTTGCCGACAACCGGGTCTGCCACCGCACTCAGTGCGCAAATCCGAAAACGCCTGTCAGAATCCGATATGGTCCCGTGTTGGTCCAGCACGTTTACCACAAGGCCCGTTTGAGGGGGGGGACAAAAACTAGCACTCAAACACACATGCACACATCGTGCATGGATGAGACTTACTAGCAGTTCACCACTGCCTTTCTCCTGCCAGTTTCTGCCGCTGTAGATTGGAGTACAGACAATGGAGCATTTGGTGGCATCTGCGGAGAGACTGCATAAGCATACTAACTCTCTGTTCTTCGATGGAAAATTTGAGCGCATAACCACCTCGGAGCTTCTCGCAGACTGCGATGTAATAAGGGTTGCAGATTGCAGTTCTTATAAGACAAAAACTTAAATGCATCTAAAAACGAGGTAAGGATTGAGCATATGCGTGGGAGGAATAAAAACCGTGGAGGACTGCCTACAATATTTTTTTTAAAGTAGCCGTTGTTCGATAGGGTTTTGGCCAGTCCTTCGTCGGCAGGATGACATTCGCTGACCTGCACCGTCCCGAGGAGTCGGCGCTGCCGAAATGTCTACATTGGTTCGTCGTTCTGCACGCCTACACGTAATTCATTAGTAAGATGAAAGCTCATTTCTAAAAAAAGCGCCGCAGCGAGAGAAGTCAGGTGGTAACAAAAATACTCAAAATATTGGAATGCATACGTCAGACATTGGAGCTGAAGTGTTAAGACGCTGGTGGATTTGTTAAATAACAGTTGGCATTTTGCTACCTCGAGCATATACCCTATCCTTGCCCAAATGGAGAACTGGAGAATGCACAACGTGTTAAATTATACCAAACATTGAGTTTTCTCTGCAGGAAATAGCCCAAATTAGAGAGAACTGTGTTAGAGGCAGCAGTGCTACCCTAAAGAGCCCATTTTAACTTTCTGCCCAAAAATCACGAAATTTGTCAGAGCCATTTCCCCAGTGACAGTGGTTGGTCTTTTTATTTGCTACGTTGGTAAAGTACTAGGATTCTCGGTAAGTACGGTTTTGGAATTAAGATTATCAGATTGGTGATGGCTTAAACCTTTTTCCATCTGGCAAATTTGCATTTGTATTCATTTCAAAGCAGTTGGCAGGGGTCTACTCTTTAATGCTCATTATAAATTTCTCTCAAGGGTCGAGCTGAGGGTGCCGTTGCAAACAAAGTGCACTATGGCTTCCAAAGCATACAGAAAAATCCCGACCGGATCAGCCCGGCGTTAACATGCACCCACCACCTGCCTCTGATATTGTTTGCCCTCTTTACATATAATGGGAAAGTCCGAGTAGGTTAATCAGAGAAAAGATAATAAAACAAAGATGCAGTGATTGGTCCCTGATCAAGGGATTTGCTTTCCAGGACGTCCTGCGAATAGTGAAAACCTATGAGATAGAAACCATGTGTTTTATGGTTCTTTTTATACCTTCCAAGCCTTTGCAAACCCTCCCACATTCTTATAATCATTATTCAGACAGTCATACAGCAAAGCAATTTATATTCTATTAGATACTAGCGCCTCGAATATGAAAGCAACTACGCACACGAACTGAAGAAGCATGTACCAGGAATAAACGGTCGCACTGTGCGCAGAAACCCGCGAACCGGCGAAAAATCTGTGAAATATATTAAATGAAGCCGCAAAAGTCAGAACGCAAGGTAGCAAGGGCTCACTGTAATCCCAGTCCGAAAAAAAATCTAGTTGTATGAAGCCAACAGACTCTGGCAAAATAATCCCCAGAAGTTGACTGTAATGTCCCCTCCAATTTTTGCCTGGAGCCCCAAAAAGATGCAGCAGTTTGGAAGCAAATAAAAACATCTGATTGAGAAGAGGGTTTACAAAACTGTTAGCAAAAGGAAACTCGGTCGCCGGAACACAAGAATAGCATTTGTTTCGACTTTGTTTCTGACTCCCCGTCAGCTTGTGGCTCTTATGGGCAGATCACCGCCCGTCAGGTCTACAGATGCCAGGGCTTGCACCTCTGCAATCCAGTCCAACTTTTTACGACTGAAGACGACCGTTTACACTTTTTTGATCCGTCCCTTTCTAACCTACCCTGCCTTCCGATTTACTGAAGGTTACTCTTAGTGTCAGCCTTCTGTACTTGCTTGCAAAGACAGACCACACCATACAGTAAATCCGTCTACCTTCTGGGTTTAGCAAGCCTTTTTCAACTTTATGTCCTGAGGCCAGTAGGCTTCCGCTTTCTTACTTCTTCAAGGACGCTAACGGGTCGCGATTATTACGTCGCCCTGCTTATGCAAACGTCAATTTCTCATAGTGGGTCAATAATCAATCAAGCCATATATATGTCTCAGGGGCAGGGTTAGTCAGACTCCATGTTCCCACTCGGCCCCCGAGACCGGAACCCCTCTCCTTCCTCCTCTCCTCCCACCCCAATCTCACCGTCCTCAACACGTTGACTCCGTCACGTGGGCCGCGTGGGAACATGTAGTCTGACTAACCCTGTCCATGAGACACATCTACATCCTGTCTACAATTAAAAAGATCACTACCTATGTGTTGGCCTGATGAGGAATTACTGAAAACATATGTTTGCCAACTGACCTTCCAAGCCATATGTGCCAAAATTGCTTCCCCTCCAAAAAGTTTAACTTTGATCGCTCTTAAAAATCTCACCGGTCTATCAATACCTACAAGTTCCCTCGCACCGATTAGGACCCTCCTTTGCATACATGGATTTGTTTCCTCTTTATTTACGCGATTCTACCGCCATCCTGATTACTCTTATTTGGTTATGCTGTCCGTCTGTTATACTGCGTGAAAACCTTTGTCGTAATAGTCCTCTGACCGGGGCTTGGAAAGGGAGAGTTTTTCACTTTTGCGCAAGACTGACAATTGAACCAAGAGACATGGCCGGGTTTGGGTTTCGGCCGGTTTGTTAAGGATGGACATTTCTATAGGATGATGTGTCACCCTAAAAACCTCGGCCTCCATGAAATTTGGAAGTCAGACAACCCTCATATTTGCTGAAAATGAGGATTTACGGTTTGAAACAACTTTGGAGTTGATTAAGTAGGACGTTGTTAGGCCCGAATGGGATTAAAAGGGAATCCAGACCATCACCCACTGCTTGCTGCGAACGGCGCACTGCTCGAAATGACGTTCTACCTCTTGAATCTCAACAGGCACGCCCTCCCCTCCTTCATCTGACCCACCCCAGCTGAAATTCACGTTGCGTAGGCGGTGAGGCCTTTGGTACACTCCCAGAGTGTAAATCGCCTCCCGCCCACAAGTCCACCATTCATGTCTTCTACTGCAGTCTTGACCTCGCTGTGTCGTGCCAAGGTGTACTTTTACGAGAAGAGAAATTGGATGCCACCGACTAGAGAGGGTGGGGGGGGGGGGGAGAAGGAGCTGTCAGAGTGCAGTTTGAGCAGCAGGACACCGAAGTCCAGGCTAGCCTAGATCCGCTCGAAGGTGCGCCACGTGGTAAATTAGCATCTCGCGCAAGTAACCTTACTCTCACTCAGAGTACGCTCCTCATCAATCCTGGTCAAGATTATCAGTGTAGTTTTGGATGAACGTCGACATTTCGTCATACCCAGACAATCTTCTATGAAGATAACCATTGTTGATCGTATTTGCATACTTGCGAGCGTTTCGCTAGCGGGAGTGTGTGGGCATTAATTCAAGTGAAAACGGTTCGCCAAAGCAAACTCCGGCAGCTTGAAGCTTAATCTTGTAATGTGGCTAATGACGTATTCATAAAAACGGAAGTGTTTTCAGCTGAAGAAGTCACTCTTTGTAACCAGGGTAATCTTGGGCCCCCCTATAAGTCCAACGGAAAGTCTTTCTTGGTTCAAGACACGCGAAATCGTTTTACACGCACAAATGTTCTAGGAATAACCGCAAAACATTGGGCGTTGTCATTTTTGTCTGTTAGACATTTGGAGGCAACCTCGGGCGTTGCTTGATATCTACGCAGTTTTCCGTGGTGTTGAGTATAACATTTACAGTCCCCTGCACGCTATGCCAAGGTGTACTTTTACGAGAAGAGAAAAGTAAATGCAACAACTGCAGAGGGTGGGGGGGGGGGGCGCTTGCAGAGTGAGCCTCAGCAGGTCACCGACATCGGCACACGCCCTGGCAGGTGACGGGCTTGTGTGCGCGGAAGAGGTCGGCGGTTCTAACGCGTTTCTACGTCTGCTCATAGATATTGAGGAGCAGAAAGCGGTGAGTCAGTTGCTGAAGTGTTCAAGTGTGCCGCAAAATAGAAAACTGATTACCCGAGTGATTAAATTAGTCGACCCATATCTGAACTGGATCTAGCCAGCATGACCTGTTGGATTTCCATTGTCAAGTTTTGCAGTAATCTGCGACAGCACCAAACAAAAAACCGCTTTCTTCTTCTTCTTCCAATGGTATGAAATTTCCCCGTAAACCTCGACAGAAGCCGTTCGAGACGATTAGGCCTTCAAGTCGGCGCAGCCTACAGCCGAGCCCTCCCCGATCTGCCATCAAAATAAGCCGTGGTAGATCGGAACTGGGCAGTTGCGCCTGCATGATGTGGATAACCGCGGCAATTTTATTGAAAGCGGAAGACTTTTCGATTTCAGAAATCGTACTTTGTAATGAATTCATGTTGGGTCCATGTAATGTCAAAAGGACATCATTCCGGTCCACCGCACCAATAATTTTCAGGCATATGCAAATATCCTAGGAGTAGACGCAACCTGTCCCACTATGTATCAGCTTTGACATACAGTACCTGTGCTAACTCATGAAATGCCGAGGTCAAAATTATAATGGAAAATGTAGCGTATTTTTGGTGTCGTTATTTGTGTTTATTTAGTTGAAATAAGGACGAAAAGACCGTTTTCTGAAGGAAAGTTTGATACGGATCTGTATATTAAATAGAAAACGGGCTGGATTTAGGCGAAATCAGAGGATTCCTGTTATTCAAGCCGTTTCCTACGCTATTACAGCTTTCGAATGGAAATTCTTTGTGTTACCTTATTAATCTGTTTAAGAAGATTAATAAACGGAAGAAATTTTTTAATAAACTTTCGAACAAAAAGAAAAAATTAAATTTCAATATCAACAAAATCAGGGAAATGCAGATAAATTATTTCCTATTGTGTTCAGGAAATAACGTGCGATTCTTTATCTAAAAATTCTATTTTACAAATTCGTAAAGTTTTATGTTTCAAAATACCGAAATAAAAAGTTTATCAGTGTGATTGTTTTACCAGACTGAAAATGCGTGTCGTAAACGAATATATATTGAGTTCGCGCGACATGCCGTCACTTTTCTCTACCACGCCAAACGATACCTATGTCTAAACAATACTTATCCGAAGTTGACTTCTAGCGCATCCGAAAATTAGCGGCGGAGGGAATCCCGCGTGAGTCGTTAGCTAGTATTTTCAATATTAGCAAGGTCACTCTGTGGCGCATTATTAATGATAAAACTGTTCCTAGAAATAAGATAGGGGGACCAAAACGGTCCACAAGTAAGCAAGACGACGATTTTATTCGTCGTACATTAAAAAAGTTTCATTACATGCCCATTGAGACCATTCAGCGGGAAAATCTGCCGATGTTTTCTATGAACATCATTAGGAAAAGGATGAAGGAATTTGAACTGCAGCGGCGGAAGGCCATGATTAAGCCATATTTAAGTAGAAAACTAATTAGAGAACGGCTTTTATTTGCTAAGAATTATATTGATTACGGATCTTCATTTTGGAAAAGCATTTTCTTCTGCGATGAGGTTCTATTTTTAGACAAGCCTACGAAATCGCTCCAAACCGTCATATGTGGAAAGAACTTCCCAAGAGAACACACTACACCGACGGCAACATTCAAGAACTGTCGGCGGATGATTGTTTGGATGGCGATTAAATTCGGTGAGTGGCCTGTCTGGCGGTCAACATCCGACGCCATCAACAGCAAGGTGTTTATTGCAATTGTCAAGGATGCTTTCGGCTACAACGGCATAAGTCGGCGCCGAATGGATCCTGTAATTTTGCAGGACAATGCACCTGTCCACCGCTCTAAAGAGGTACGAATTTGATGCCGCTTGCAAATATAATCCAGCATTTTAGACTACAACCACCCTCTCCGCCATCGGCCTCCAATCCATTTTCATCCCGGCCAACAGTCCCGATTTGAATCATATTGAAAATCTTTTTGGAATAGTCAAAAGAAATTGGCACAAAGCTAAAAAGACTCTTTCAATGCAGGAAAAATTGGATTTCATACTCAATAGTTACATTTTACAATCCACCATAGATAACCTTGTCATGTCTATGTCGGACAGACTTTCTGCTGTTATTAATTCGAATGGACAATCTACAAAGTACTAATTTTTTGTATCTGTTTCTGTCCTTAATTATTTTTGACCTTTTATGCGCCCTGCTCCTTTATACGTCCTCATACGTAGCCTTTATCAACTTGGTTGTAATATAGGCGTTTCTCGAAAATGTGACTTTTGTCGAAAATTATTTATTTTTATCTTAGTAAATAATATTTTCTTAACCAAACCTTGCTTTATTTCTTTGACACATCGTTTATTTTCCGCTATCAGACTTTGGGAGCCGTAGTGTTTACCGATTTTGCGTTAAAGTCGTTAACCTGTGTTAATTTGTGACATTTCATGAGTTAGCAGAGGTACTGTATGTGATAACAAGTTTTTGCCGCAACCCATTTCTGCTGCTAAATAAATTAGAAATGGAATGAGTACCACGTTGATCGATGGGGGAATAATGCTTTGACAAAGGTGCGATCCAGACAAAGACAAGGGAGACCGGAATGACCTCTTCTGATTTACAAGCCGTCGTCAACTAGCCATACTCCGAGCCCCAGAGTTGCGGCACCTTGGATTCGAACTCGCCGATAATTTTGAATCCGCTTCACCGTTACACTTGGATTCAGGGTTTCCAACCTACAAGCCGTATATTTTCCGCGTACGGAAAACCACACATTTCTCAAGGGTAATAAAGGGAGACTATTTTGGGGTTATAAAATTTAACAGTGGATTTGAGTCATATTGTTAACTTTAAAAGCCACATTGATAAATGCAGAGACATAACGATTCACGAACGGCCATTTTACAGTACATAAAAGTCCTATAATTAGAAGCTGTTTTAAAACCGAATTATGTTGCTCCTCCGAGTATAAAATTGGAAGAAGACGTAGTTTTCTACCGAATGAGCGGGAGAATGAATATTTTTGTGCATTTTTACCATGAAACAATTGAACTTTTAGGGGCATTAAAAACCAATTTGAAAAATTCATGCTACTGAAGTAGTCACTTTTTACAGAGTGTAATTTTTGCACGCAGCTGGAATTAAGTTCGTTCGAAAGCCGGCATTCTGAGGCAACTGAAATATTATAGGACAAGTTTTAAAACCCTACTTAATAAATCTTTTCGAAACGAAAACGCATTTCGGAATTCCGGCCGACATTTCATGAGTTAGCCCACCTACTGTAGGTCAGCGCTCAACAAGGACTCACAACGTAGAGAAAAGGTTTATTTTGTCTGGAGCAGAAGATGGATGAAACGCATGAGAAAATTTGATCTTTCTTTGGAAAAAGATGAAATCTATAGACACGAATTTGACAAATACCGTAACAAAACACTGCAAGAGGAGAATTCATTTCATGAGATTGTCCCCTTGAGCAGGGACTTTCTTCACAGTCTTTTGTTGCGGATGCTCGCTACAATGAAAGTGGAACACGTCACAATACACTGCAAGCGCTGTATTGAGCCAGCGGATATTGGACTATTTGACGTCCTGAGCGAACGGCTCCTTCACATCCATAGCTGCAGGAGATGTTGGTGCTGTAGGTTATTTTCAGTTAATATGTACTGTAGGTGATGAAGCATATGGAGTCTCCTCACCGAAATTTGAATGAGTGATAAGGAGTAGATTGTGGGTTGCCAGAGCCACAGAACATTTTTCTAAAGAAAATATTTTAAGTCTGGTTCCCTGTACATGCACTATGGTACAGTTAAGGCATCTCGGACCTCGCACCAATGAGAATTCCGCACAAGTTACATTAAGAAGGGACCATTACAGTCTGACCCTCAGTCCCTTGACTCTCCCCCCCCCACAGATCTGCTCACGCCAACTATTGAAGATGAGTCAGTCCTCAATCCAGCTAAAATATGTCAAAATTCCTTTTTCTTCAAAGTCCTTGTTCTTGACGATTCCCCAATGACCGGCCGGATATCCAGCACAATTTAGATCGCCACCTTTACGAATGTTATTTCTACATGTCATTCCCCTCCTATACCTCGTGAAGGAGTTAATGGAAATGTTCTTGGGGTTGGGGCCTCAGGAGGGCGGGATTTTTTTTTATGTCACGAGGGTTTAGAACTTAGGTAAAAGGGCACAGGAGTGACAGATTCCCAATTGAACGTGGTGGGATTTAGGTTTCGGCCATTTCGTCAAATTTGGGCACTTTTGCAGGATTACGCGTCATTTTGCCGTTCCTACAAAATTTGGAACTTATACAACATAGAAAGTGCGCAAAATGGTTCACAGATACACGAGGAGAGCTTGGAGTATAAAACCACTGTGAATTACACGACTAGCGCGAATAAGAAAGCCAGACCATCTCGAAACGCAGACTACGAGCTTGCTATGAACCAGCGACTTCGCCTGAATTTAAATTTTGCTTCCTGCATCCTGGCAGCCAACCCTTTCCTCTGGATCGCCGCAGTTGGCTGAGTGCATCCTCATTGAAGTTCACGATGTGCAGGCGGCGGGGGCCTTTGAAACACCACTGGAGTGCGACTGTCCGCCGGCCTACAAGTGGATAATTGGCGTCCTCTAAGGCAGTTCCAGTCCCCTCGCCAGGCTGTACTTTTACAAGGAGAGAAAATTAGGTTCAATCACCTACGGAGGGCAGTCGCTTTCAGAGTGCAGGCCTCCGAAGTTCTCAGTTCAGCGAGGGCAGTGGCATGTGACAGGTTTGCGAGCCATGAACGCATGCTCGTAGGCGATAGGCGTAGAAAGGGGTGATTCAGCGGCTGAAGTGTTCAAGTGCGCCTTCAAGTGGTGAACGGAATACTGAAGTGGCTGTCAAAATCGACCACAATCTCAGTTTACTCCAAACGCCACGGGTTTGCATTGTGAAATTTTCGCACACCTATGCAGCAATATCAAACAAAAAACCCATTTACTTTTGTCAGGGCATATGGAAAATCCACTAAATGTGTCCTCAGCACTGGCCATGGGGGCCTTTTTCATAATCATGCCCTACTTTGGATGAGGGATTTGGTGGTCGGGACTTATTTGGTAGCCGCAACTGCAGTAGGCAAGCCCAATACGCCCGCTATAAGGGACCGGTGGTAAAAGGGGGTTTGACACTAGCCCTCTAACCCCTAAGTCCTGACCCGAACCCCTAACCCAGAATCCTAACCCCCAACAGGTGCGGTTACAAAATAGGATCTTACCTACTTGGTGATGAGGCCGTCAGACCGACACAGGGCTCAGTGGACCCCTCTCGGCCAGGAAAAACTGGAAGCTGTTGCTTATTTATCTTTCTGACTGGCAGCAATGCTGTGAAGGCCTGACGAATTCCCCCATCTTGTCAAGTTCTGCCCGCGCTTCGGTCAGACGCTTCGGTCAGTTCGCTTCCTACTATCGGGAGCCAGCGGGCATAAAATTCCTATGCGGTCAGTAGCTCGTAACCATGTGATCATGCAGTTTTATGTGCATTCTGCCGATCAAGAAAGAGTACAAACCAGTCCCAGGTTAACGATACGTGGGGAAGAAACCCTTATTATACAGAATTTCATATATGAGTAGAAAAACAGGTGAGGTTTAGTCCTGCAGCCCCACCCGAGTGATGCCATATGGTTAGCTTTTTAAAAAATGTTGGTAGATGTGGATACGCTGACTCTACGTATATCACGTATTTGCATCTTCCTTATCATTATAGTCTAGCGGGTGACTGTGCCACGAGGGAGGAGTGCTTATACGCCAGCCTCGGTTACTTCAGATATCAGTTCACACGCGCTTCTCTGTGCATGCTTCAAGCCCAACTTGCGCTCTCTTTACTACCATAATCCAGCAAGTGGCCAAATAGACTTACTGTGGAATTATTCCGACGGTTCCATCGGTTCCACCACAGTGGCCATGCACTTCTCCCAGTGACCTTCTAGTTGTAATTGCGCCCTCCTTATCCTTTGCATCCAGTGAATGGCTGTGCCGGGGAGAGAGCGTGTACACGCCACCTTCACTCTTTTCCCTGCGCATGCTTCGAGTGGCTAACTTAGGCATGCTGACTTACAGTACCTGTGCTAACTCATGAAATGCCGAGGTCAAAATTATAGTGGAAAATGTAGCGTATTTTTGGTGTCGTTATTTGTGTTTATTTAGTTGAAATAAGGACGAAAAGACCGTTTTCTGAAGGAAAGTTTGATACGGATCTGTATATTAAATAGAAAACGGGCTGGATTTAGGCGAAATCGGAGGATTCCTGATATTCAAGCAGTTGCCTATGCTATTAAAGCTTTTGGATGAGCGGCCTGTCTGGCGGTCAACATCCGACACCATCAACAGCAAGGTGTTTATTGCAATTGTCAAGGATGCTTTCGGCTACAACGGCATAAGTCGGCGCCGAATGGATCCTGTAATTTTGCAGGACAATGCACCTGTCCACCGCTCTAAAGAGGTACGAATTTGATGCCGCTTGCAAACATAATCTAACATTTTAGACAACAACCACGCTCTCCGCAATTGGCCTCCAATCCATTTTCATCCCGGCCAACAGTCCAGATTTGAATCCTATCGAACATCTTTTTGGAATAGTCAAAAGAAATTGGCACAAAGCTAAAAAGACTCTTTCAATGCAGGAAAAATTGGATTTCATACTCAATAATTACATTTTACAATCCACCATAGATAACCTTGTCATGTCTATGTCGGACAGACTTTCTGCTGTTATTAATTCGAATGGACAATCTACAAAGTACTAATTTTTTGTATCTGTTTCTGTCCTTAATTATTTTTGACCTTTTATGCGCCCTCCTCCTTTATACGTCCTCATACGTAGCCTTTATTAAATTGGTTGTAATATAGGCGTTTCTCGAAAATGTGACTTTTGTCGAAAATTATTTATTTGCATCTCAGTAAATAATATTTTCTTAACCAAACTTTGCTTTATTTCTTTGACAAATCGTTTATTTTCCGCTATCAGACTTTGGGAGCCGTAGTGTTTACCGATTTTGCGTTAAAGTCGTTAAACTGTGTTAATTCGTGACATTTCATGAGTAAGCACAGGTACTGTATATTGCTTTAGCAAGCTAACCATATAATATCAATCAAGTTGGACTACAAAACCAAACCTCGCCGAAAAATAGACCAGTCTCCTGCATAAACAGCTAAGTCAATAAAATGGTGGTATTTGCACTTTACCTGACCTGCTCGTTCAGTGAGGCCACCGTCAAAATTTTAGTATGTCAGTCGCTATGAATTCAGTGAAATTTCCAAATGCATTCGAACAGCCGATATTCTTTCAAATCAGAGCAAAGGCCTGCGGAGTGTTCAATGTATCATCTTTGAAAGGTCATTTTGGAGTGATTGGATTAGATATGTAAGCCTACTGAGAAACTATATCCCAAGGACTCCTGTAATACGGAAAGGATGGGAATACTAATTTATCGGTACAGCAGATGGACGCTGCAATTAACGGAATCAACGGACCGCATTGAGGAAACTCGCGTTTCTGCCATATAATTGTTTTATTTCTCCAATGAGGCGTCAGAAGGAACCGCGCAAATTGAATAACGTGAATTGGAGTGTGTAAACGGCCCGGAAACAGATAAGCTACGGTAATTGTTTAACTGCGATCGGGTTAGGTAAGATGGTATGCGGCAAGCAGACTTAACGCGTATTTTTGCTCTTTGCCTAATCTTATATCTATCTTTAACCCTAGGCCCAAGTGTAATCACTTTCCTACACTAAATTAGAAACGTTACCCTTACAGTAGATTCAGTGACTAATGAAATCTTAACGGAAATTCTGAAATGCTTTTTCGGTAAAGATGGGATGAAGGCCTTCAAGCATCTGTGGCATACAAAGAAATACCTACTATACTCATTTAAGTGGGTTTTAGTCCTACATGATTTCATTGGTGTGGCGTTTCATCATACAAGGTTGGGTCGTCTGTTATGGACGGTCTGGTGCATTATCTACAATGAACTCAGCTCAGAGAGTTGAGAAGCGGTCGTCGTAGACAGGGTGGTAAATTTTCTACAATGACCTCGGCTCAGAGAATTTACAAGTGATCGTTGTGGACACTTTATGTTCATTTTTTAGTTTTCCTGCTGACTTCCGGTTGCTATATGCCAATGCATTATAACATCCGTCCGAAAAACGAATTTACTTATTATCTATGCTTCTTTTACCATTCCTCTATGCACGCATAGGCCTCGTCCGTAAAAAACCTATTGCCACCTCTCCCGTAGGACAGGCACCTTTGGCTGGTCGTGTGTGTTTGGGGTTTTCCACCCGATTGTTGTCGCGTTTTCTAATCAAAAAGATTGTACAGTTTACAATATGCTCAAATCCACTGCTACATTTTATGAAAGCCAACACGGTCTCCTCTTAATCACACAGAGAAATAAATGATTTTCCGCACACGGAAAATATAAAGCTTGTAGGTTGGAAACCTTTAATGCAGGTGTAACGGCAGGTCGGGTTCAAAATTATTCGGGAGATAGAAAAGTTTTGAAAACCGAATTATACCCTTCCCTCGAGTATAGTATTTAAAGAAGGCGTAAGTTTCAACCAAATGAGTAAATGAATTAACATTTTTATTCATGTTTTCCATGAAGTATATTTGAATATATAAGGGCATCGAAAATCAGGGAGAAAATTTCATGCCAATTAAGTAGTCATTGCTTACCGAATGTAATCTTTGCAGAAGCCGAAAAGAAGTTCGTTCGGAAGCCGGCGTTCCGAAGTAACTGAGTTGCTATGAAAGCATATTGCACAGTTACTAATATTACAGCATTATCAAAGTGATTTTTTGGTCGAAAACGCATTTCAGAATTTCGGTTAGCATTTCATGAGTTAGTACATCTACTGTATATGGCCTTCCTACCAAAAGTAAATGTGTGGGCATGTTATAGTAATAGAAACACGGGTCCACATGTACAATGTTAACTGAAACAAAGCGACAGCTTTGTGAGAAAATTCTTTCCAGGAAGCTTACTTAATCCACTAGAGTTATCAAAAGACGGACATAACCGCACACAGTACATGAGCAGTGGGCTGGATTGTACATTAGGTCATCAAGCAGGTGAAGTTCACTGATCGAAAGGCGAATGGTCAGTTCAGGGTGCCTCGCAGGTTAACTTAGCGTCTAGCGAAAAAACCTTCTTTCAGCGCAGAACAGAGTTTTACCTAATAAAGACCCTCACTACGACTTTTGACGGATATCGACATTTCTTTATATCTAGAATGTTTCCTCTGAAAAAAATCTTCCTCTCAAACAGAATACCGTTCTTGTTTATTTTCGTAAAGACAAACATTACGGTATTGGGCGAACGTCGGAATTCCTTCCTGTCGAAAAAACTTCCCATGGTCATCAAGATTCGGCAGTTTGAAATTTGGTCTTTAGGTTCGTTAAAAGCAGTTTGGCAAGATATGAGTAACTGCATTTCAATCGACGCTCCATCATTTTCGGCACCTACTAAACGGAAGACGCGTCTGGTCGTTTCGCTTGGAACTGTGGACGAGTGTGGTAAAAAAACAGCTTACCTATGTGGCCGAGACGAACTTCACAGCTTTGCCATTCCATACTAGTAGATTTACAAATCATGTATATTCTGATTTGGCCAGAGCCCGCCGCATTAACATTCGCTGTCAGTCTGCTGTTTCAGTGTTCAGTCAATTTGTGGCTACTCACCGATAACAATAAATGCGACTTTACATCTCAAGTTTATACTTCCATATTTTTTGCCGTCGGCTGGCCTTCGCA